TGGATTGATTCAGTGACTGGGGTAATCGGGTTGGGTGTGTCAGAGGCATTGCAGTTGGCGCAGGATAGAGCAGGGTTTAGGGCTGTTGTACATAGGGTTGCTATGAGTCGCAAATGACTCGACGGCACATAACAACAACAACAGTAAACACTCATGGAAGCAAAATTCCAGAAATGGAATATAACCAGATTAGGCACATCTGTGACACAAGACCTATTTACAGTGCAGAGGAGCAAGGATGTTACTTTGAGGACTGAGGTACACCTCATAATTTCCGTTGCCTTATATGTGTCTTGAAGTTGAACAATGAATTAAAAAACAAACAAACAAACAAACAAACCCGGAGAGAAATTGATGCCTTTGAGTTGTGTTGACTAGAGTATTGAATTTATGACGGACAGCAAAGAGAACAGACAGATTTGTTTTTGAAGACATGCATCCAGGGTGAGGCTAGGGCAAGGACAGTGAGACATTTTTCTCATACGTCTTTGAGATCAGGAGGCAGTAGTTCTTGGAGAAGGACTTGTTTGATAAAGTGATAGATCTGCAGTGAAAGAGTAAGCCCCTGAATGGATTAATACAGTGGCTGCCACAAAGGGCCAAACAGAACAGCAGCTGTGAGAATGGTGTGGACCCAGGCATGTTTAACTGTGGTACGTGGGCTTGCTGTGAGTTATGAGACTGGACAGCACTTAGCATCGATACTCACGCCCTTCCCCTCCGTTCAGTCTTTTGAATGACTTTAGCTCTTTTGACTTTTTCTAACTTAGCTGCCTTCTTGATATTTTTCAGCTGTCTGCTTGGTGTTCTTCCATAGTACTGCTAATTTGCTGAGACAATCCCATTTTAAGTGTGAACCCCAAAGACAGAGTAACTATTTGGAGAAATTGAGAGAATAAATGGAAATAAATGAAGAAAAGGGCTGTGTGGTATTAATAGTTATGAGTGATACCACTAGGAAAAGAAAATATCATATATTTGTTTGGGGTTTTTTTAAAACGCATACATTTGTATAATTTGTATAACAAATACGGGTCCTGCGGCACATACTAAGAGAGTAAATGCGTGTCTGTTTTGTGACTTGGCAGTGTTTCTATAGTATTGCACCCGCTGCTAATGAGTCAGTTCTCACTCAACCCTGCATCAGGTGTGTGTGGCTGAAAATCTTTACAGCAGGTCACCTGCCCATCTTTTTGCCAAAGAGTGTGATGTGGATCTGAACTGCCAGCGTTTTGCTTAGCAACCTGATATGTAATACACAATGCCACCAGGTTTCCTTTTTTTTTTAAGCATTTTTATTTTTTTTATTTGTGTACCGTCAAATTGGATCTGACTGGGGGGGGGGGGAGAAGAAAATATTCTTTTCAGCACTAGAGGGCACTCATGATATATGAATGCATGTCAAAATGAATATTCACAGACTGTTTAGTTAGATAAAATTTGGAATATTTGATTGTAAACCAATTGTTGCCTTCAAGAAGAATTTGGATTATCAGACTGATTTTATGCTGTTATTAGGTGCTCTCAAGTCAACTCTCAGTCAACTCTTCAGTACTTTGGAGTGGTCTCTGACCGAATTTCCCTATGCAATTTGTCTTTTAATTAATGATTCAAATTCAGTTTTTACAGGGTTTCTAGTTTAACTACTTAAGGAATTCTATTAATGTAGGGCACTCTGGTGGCCTAATGGTAAGGAGATGTGCTGGCAACCCCCAAGGTCCATGGTTCACATCCACTGGCTGCTCCACGAGAAAGATGGACAGTCTCTTTCTGTGCATTTTACTGCCTCTGAAAACCCACTAGAGGGTCAGCAATGCATCAGTGCTGACTCGATGGTACACAACAAGAAGTGATGATGTTGTCTGACCTGTCAGAACTGCTAACCAAAAGGGCTGCATTTTGAATCAACCAGCTGCTCTTGTAAGAGAAAGATGGACAGACTTCTCCTATAAATATCAGCTTCAGAAACCTGATGTCTGATGGAGGGTTGCTGTGAGTTGGAATTGATCTGATTGCAGTGAGTTTTCATTTAGGATAGTTTATTTCAGGGGCAGCTGGTGGTCTAGTGCTAAGAAGTTGCGATGCAAAACCAGAGACAGGCAAGGCAAGGCAAGGCAGTTTGAGTCCATCAGCTGCTCCTTGAGAGAAAATGGACTGTCTCTGCTTGTGTGATTTACAGCATCTGAAACCCACTAGAGTAAGCTGTGAGTAGGTTCTGTCTTGATGGCACACAACAACAACATCATTTATTTTAAACATCTAAGTTATAGTCGAGCCCTGATGATGGAGTAGCTAAAGTGCTTGGCTGCTGCTGATGGCAAAGTTACCAGTTTTTATTTCTCAGCAGTTGTGGAAGAGAAAGATGTGACAGCCTGCTTCTGTGAAGATCAAGCCTTGAAAACCCCATGGGACAGTTCTGATTTGTCCTTAGAGCTTATAATTAGGAACTGACTTGGCATTGTGCTTGAATTTCTAGATTCTTATTATTTCCCCTAGAAAAAACATCATAGAAATGTAAATCTAAAAAGGGACCGGAAAGTCGCCTCTATTTTTACAAAGGAAAATAAAATCCCATCATAGGTAAAGTTAATTAAACAGTGCTATAATGCAGGTTATTTATAGAAAGAGGTTAGAATCTTAGGTCCATGTTCTGACATTTTGGTAAAGTAGAAAGAAGCACTGTATTGTTGAAAGAATGCTAGAATAAAATTTTTCGTGGCTTGAATCTCATTCTTGTTTGCCACTTAACCAGGCTCTGTCCTTTAAAGCTCTGTTTGTGTGTGTTCGTATAATATGTCTTCCCTGGTGGTGGTATTGATAGTTGTGAAGATCAGTGAGATGATAGATTTATTCACTTAAGACATTTCAAAACCATAAATAGATAATAGACACGTATTAGTTGGGTGGAGGGGAAGGCAGAATCTAACTGGATGATCATACTTTATAGTTAATTACTTTTAATTCATAATTTATTAATTTTTACTTAAACTGTGATAAAAGGGAAAAAAGTGAATTTAAAAAGCTCTTATTCAAAATCCTAAGCACATGTTTATTGCAGTTGCTTATGGTTTTGTGATGAGTTCCTTTGCATTTTATTATTCAGGCTCTATGATGCCTTGGTAAATGGCGGGGGTGGGGGGTGGAAGGAGAAGGTAGGGGGAAGATGGATAGTCTCCTCCCATGAGCTTAACTGCCTCTGAAAATTTGCTGGAGGGGTCGCCTGTGGGTCGGTTCTGACTCAGCAGTACACAGCCACCACTACACTAAGGAAAATAAGTGCCACCATTTGATGTTGCTAAGCATTTGAAAAAATACACAGGATTGTCTTCAGTCATCATTTAGTGGTATAACTAAAATGAAAAATAGAGCTTGCAACTCAGAAACATGTTTTATACTTTGGCAGGACCTTACTGTGTTAAATTTCTAATAAGACATCCATTTTTCTTTTTCTCTATACTTGTCACAGGAATAATGTACATGAGGCCTTGGACGTGAAGTGATTTGGGCCCCTGTTGCTGTTAACATAGGATTGAGGACTGATGTGTGGGAACATGGACCTGATGAACGGACAGGCAAGCAGTGTGAATATTGCAGCCACTGCTTCTGAGGTAAGAGTTAGAAAACATTATGAACTGCTTTTCACAGGCTTTCTACTTTTTCAAGGATTATGATTTATATCAAAGTGAAATAAAGGGCCGCCTATGAGTGCATTGGTAGTTGTATATAGGTGGCTTAATGGTAAATAATTGCACTACCAAGGTAAAGGTATGTGGTTCAAATCCACTAGCTGTTCTGCAGGAGAAGATGGGCAGTCTCCTCCAGCGTGATTGAGAGCCTCTGAAAACCCAAAAAAGGGTCAATCAGGGCTTCAAGTCTGGCTCTGTAGTAAATAACCACAACACCAAATTAGTATTTTAGGGTTTTTTTAAAAAAATAAGAGACAAAATAACCATTCAGTTTTGTTATTTGTATATTTATGTGCATCTTAGAAACCTTTATTTTATCCTTGGCAAATAAAAAATAGTGAGTCATTATATATCATTCTTGTATTGATTAGTCTGCTACATGAGAAGTTTAGAATTGAACATTTTCAAGATTGATTTGAATATAGCCTGCTTTGCAGGTGGATAGTGGGTAAATTTTAGATAAAGGGCTCCATTTAAAAGCCATTACACTACTGTGTTCCTATTACTTGAGAAGATATTTGGAAAAGTCATTATTACTTAAAACCCTTACATTGTGTTTAGTTTTGGAGAGACACTGGAATGGCTTTTTAGAATACATCTGACCTCCAGAAAGCCCTGGTGTGATCCTGTGGATGGTAGCAGGCTGACACCTGGGCAGTTCAATACATCATTGGCTCCAGGGAAGGAAGGATGGATGGACACTCTCTCCTTCTGTGGAGATTACAGCCTTGGAAACCTGATGGAGGGTACCTGTGATAACTGTGGGGTTGTTTTCTTAACTTTGAGGAAGTAGTACTTTTTGAGAAAGCACCATACTATCTTCCATAGTGGTTGCACCATTTTACACTCCTGTTCAGCTGTTATGACTGGGGTTAGATAATATAGTTGTTTAGAACCTCACTCTTTTTTTTTTTTTAATCTCTTGTTTGTTTTTGTTATTATGTGCCTTTGAGTGGACTACCACTCATAATGGCTCTATACACAGTAGCTCTGAACCTTGCTCTATCCTGGACCAATCTAACTGTTTCTGACATACCTGGAATCATGCCCAAAGTAGGTGTGATGGAATCTCAAAATTCTTGCCTCCAAGGCGCAGCTTGTTTTCACCCTCTACATAACAGACTTGTTAGTTCTCTTGGCAGTCCATGGTATGTATCCTCAGTGCTTTTCCTCCAGCACCACAGTTCAAAGGCATCAATAATTCTGTCATCTTTGGTCATTGTCCACTGTCTGGTGCATAACAAGTAATTGTGAAGACATTGGCTTGGATGGAGTGTATCTTAGTCTCTAGACTGACATGGTTACTCTTTAGTACTCTGGAGAGGTCCCTGACAGCAGATTTTCTTAATGCAGTTAGTTCATCTTCTGATTTCCTGAAATTTTGGTGTCAAGAGTGTTGATTGTAGAACAAAGCAAGCTAATCTTAAAAATGTCATCGTCTTCTCCATCTATCATGATGCTGCCAATTGGCCCAGTGATGAGAATCTTTGTTTTCTTAATTTTGAGCTTCAATCCATATTGAAGAGTCCTTGACCCTCTGCAGCAGATACGTCAGGTCCTCCTCGTTTCATCAGGCATTATTATGTCATCTGCATAATTTAGTTTCCCTCTGATCCTGGTGACACATTCTTCCTCCTAACATCTGTAGATCAAGGATATTTTCCTGATTTCCTTGGTAATTTTAGCAACTGGCTCTTATTTCTGCATTATTTTCCTCTTATTACAGTGGACAGAACTAATAAACATTTACCATACCAATGACTCTTTTAATAGAGGTCAAAGAAAACAGGTATACTTTATAGAACATGAAACAAACAGTAGTAAGCAGTTTCATTTTGTTTACTTGTTGGTAGACTCTGGTTCATCTCAGAGCTCTGGTGGTGTAGTGGATAATGTATCAGCAGCTAACCAAAAGGTCAGCAGTTCGAATCCACCTGCTGCTCTTTAGGCAGTCTCCCAGCTGTAAACATTTCCCTCACAAACCTGACAGTCATTATCATTGAGAACTGACTCGACAGCCATGAGTTAGTGACTTTGATCCATCAGAAGTGCTTAATAATATTATGAGGGTAGCCAGGACTGAAGTGAGGGGTCCTCTATTTGCATAATGACAAGAATTGAAACCACAGACTACGAATATTCTAAATAATAGCAAGACCTAAGAAATTGGGTGGAGCAAAATTGAGGTAGAATTAAAGATATTAAAAAACCTTAATCTTTTTCTTGATTATGTTTACAGTGTGTACTTGGTGTTTTGTTGCCACTGAAAAGGAGAGGGGGAAAAAAGAAAGTGTCCCATAATAAGCCGTAATGGTTGTGGTACAACTAATGATGAATATTTTAGCAGTGTAAATTTGATTACTTTTTGATGACTAACCTGTGGCCTCACATCCCACCACTATTTATTAGATGTTGATCTAAATGATTCTTTCAATTCAGCCAGTCTATAGAGAAAGTATTTCTCTTCTATATTATATATAGATGAAATGGAAAATTTAACATAAGTAAGATTTTTTAGAACCCAAACCACCTTTTAAAAATTCTACATGTAACAAGAAACAGTATCAAGTGCTGAAGACATGTAGATTTATAATTCGTTGTTGTTTATCCTCCAGGCAAAACCAACCCATAGATGGCACCCCCACACCCCTTCACTCTCCAACCCCCCCACCCCCGCCATAGATTTTCAGAGGCAGTAAATTGCACAGGTGGAAATTGCCCATCTTTCTCCTGAGGTGCAGTTGGTGGATTAAAACTAGGTAGCTTTGTGTTGGCAGTACAATTCCTTACCATTTATTGCTGACCGGTGGGAAACCACGTATAGCTTGACCCTCCAGCAGGTTTTCAGCATGGAAAAAAATTACCCAGATTTTTTCTCCCTTGGACCTGCTGTTGGATTTTGACTGACCTTTTCTCTATCTAGCATTCCTCTATTTCATCAGCATGTCTTCTCTGGTGTTTAAAAATTGTAACCCAATCTGTAATTACCTCAGTTTTTAGTGACACTCTAGTTTCTGACATATTAACTCTGAGATGGTATTAAAATGGCTGTGTTCTTTCAATTCGACAGAAAAGTAGCAGTTCTGAGTCTCTAAGTGACAGAGGTTCTGAATTGAAGAAAAGTTTTGATGCTGTGGTATTTGACATTCTTAAGGTTACACCAGAAGAATATGCGGTAAGCTTCACCAGTTTTTTGCCTATTATTAATATTGGTGCTGTTAACTTAGAATTTATGGGCATTATGGAGGAGCCTGTAAAATGTATGGAGGAGCTTTTTTTTACAAAAAAGCTAATTGTGGAAATTGATAGGAAAACAGGACAAAAAGGCTTGAGATGGGAGGGGAAAACACTGTAGATCTTTTTAGGACAACTTCATAAGTGGTACTTAAAGCTGGAAAAGTAATAGGTCAGCATTTACCATATCTTTGGTAATTTTCATCCTTCTCTGCTACCTTCCCAAGGAAATTTCACATTCCCGACTTTTCTAAGATATATACTTATTTACTTGATAAAATGAAAAAAGTTGAACTAGGAAGGCATTAGTACCTTATCATAAAAGGTACCTAAAAAATGTATTAATATCTAGTTTCTCCTCTAATTTGTTGGTGGAATATATCGATTTTCTGATTGAATCAGTCTTCCATCTTGCAAAGAAATTATTTGAAATACTATTTTAGGTATTTTACCATAAAGGAGATCGGTACGTAGCTATGGAAAAGTCCTTAGTTCCTGCTACTGTAACTCAAATCCTATTAATACCAGCTTTTATGTTATAAATATGAAGAGGTTTTAATAGTTATAACAACAACAGTAGATCAGATTTTTCGTTTTGATTTTTATTTTGTAATGGGCTAAAATAAAAAATTTTGTATTATGTTCTAGCTCTACTTCCTTAGTGTTCTAAGAATATATGAATAGACGTGATCATTTGAAAGAATTTCTCCCTTGTTCTGTTAAATATAGTTTTATCTTCTGCTAAATATTTTTCTATTCTAGTGAAGATTTTCACTTTGAGTAACATTTTGGTAAAGAGCCATCATTTTAAAAATTTGGAAGCTGTGTTACACTATGGAATTCCAAAGATGATACTATGATTTTTCACTTTGTATTTCAGGGTCAGATCACACTAATGGATGTTCCAGTATTTAAAGCTATCCAACCAGATGTGAGTAATTTCAGAAACTTTCCTTTTAAATACAGAAAATGATCAGTTATAGCATCTTACATGACATTTTAGAATTGTCAAAGTATATAGTATATTCATTTTAAAATGTTTACATTTTTTATGTGACATATTTTAGTCACACTGTAATAGTTAGTGTGACATTTATAGTTTTACATCAGGTTATAAACATATGGTTGATTTGATTCTTGACTCACAGTGACAGCCCCCCTCTCCAGAATGTGTTGAGTCCTAGATGGGACTGTTTGAATCTTGGTTGATTTAGCGTTATCATCCTGTTACAGGGAGTAATCAACTTAAAAGGCTTGAATGATTTTCCCAGGGTTTAGAAGGTTTTTAATTGTACAGTAACCCAGACCCACCACTGAGTTGATTCCCACTAACAGCAATTCTCCGTGAGGTTTCCAAACCTGTAAATCTTGATGTAAATGGACATTTGAGCTGCTGACCTTTTGCTTGGAACCCAAGCAGATAGCCCACTACGTAAGGTCGAAAGTAGAAACTGTTTAACTGCGAAAATCTTTAATCTGTGACTTTATCATAAGGCTTTGTCTTATACTTTGGAGAGAACAAGGAGAACATTTGTTTTTTAAACACAAATAAGAGAATATTAACATCTTTGATCCTCTTACTGTGAGCCATTTTTTATGCCGTGTATGTGTCTCTGGACTGTGTCTGTTGTGTTTACAACTTGGATATGGTGAATAGTAGTCTACTAGTGAGGAAATAGAGCACCTTCACTGTCTTTGGTACTCAGCTAAGTGTGTTAGAACTGGGTTTCAGATTCTTAAAGATGGAAGATTTTCTCAATCTATGAAGTAGGTAGGAATATAAATGCGATTTTTATCCTAGAACATACGCATTCATTATTTTGAGATTTAATACCATAATAGAAATCTCTTAGGTAGCTCTGATGGCCTAGTGGCAAAGCTTAACTGCAATCCCAGAGTTGTGCGGTTCGATTCACCAGATGCTCTGCTAGAAAAGGAGGGACAATCTCCTCCTGTACCAGTCAGATCCAATTTGACGGTGCACACACACACACACACACACACACACACACACACACATGCTTATTACGATTTTCTAATTTTAGGTATGATTTACTGATTCTATTGCAGAAGATAATTTTGCTTTTCTTACATTCTGCTAAAATACGCTTTTGTGATTATGCTGAATGGTACTAGATAATGTTCCATCCTTAATACTTGGGCACCCTTAATTTAGCAAGAAAACTGGGCTCTTTCTTGAATTTATATTTCATTTTTCTTTCTATTTCATATTTCAGGAACTTTCCAGTTGTGGATGGAATAAAAAAGAGAAGCACAGTTCTGCACCAAATGCAGTTGCCTTCACAAGAAGATTTAACCATGTAAGTTGTTTATAAAATTTTGATATTTTGAATTCTGGATTCAAAACACAGTTTTTCATTAAGGAATAGTTTTTTACTTTTTGTATTAATTCTGGAACATCTTCAGCCAGGATTTTGTCAAATGTTGCCTCTCTGCCTTATCTGTAGAGGGCATAGTGCCTAGGGCATGAATAGAGCTGATAATCAAAAGATGGGCAGTTGGAATCCACCAGCAGTTCAATGAGGGGTCTCCTCTTGTAAAAGTTTACAGCTTGGAGACATGGTTGGGAGTTACTGTCAGCAGAGCCCATTCAACTTGGAGACATGGTTGGGAGTTACTGCCAGCAGAGTCCACTCAACAGCATTGAGTTTAAAGGTTTTGTTTTGCCTGGCCTCTATTTTACCTTCTAGACTTCCATTTAGAAACTGTCTTTCCTACTTGTCTCTTAACTTTTCATGTCTCCTGTCTATCTTTTTCTGTTCTATTCTTAGTGATTTTTTCAGATACTTAAGTGCTCTGCAGATAACCAGTTAGTGATTTTTTTCAGATATTTAAGTGCTCTGCATATAACCAGATTGACAGTTAAGACCCTCTAGCTGCTGTATGGGAGAAAAATGGGAAAGTCTACCTCTGTAAGGATTACAACCGTACAGACCTTACGGGTTAGCTCTCCTCTGCCCTTTAGGGCCTCTGTGAATTCAAATTGACTCACTTAGCAGTGGATTTGGTTTGAAATATTGACTCACTCATTCTCTTCCAAAGATGTCTTACCTATTTCAAATTACTGTGTTTTTACAGAGGTATCTTTTTAATCTATTTTGTACTTCTCTAATTTTTACATTTTCCTTTATTTTATGATTTCACTGTGATTATCTAAAGGCCTTGAGAGGGTACTAATTCCTTCATTTCTGCTACTCCTTAGAAATGTTTGTTTTCTGGTGTGCATTGTAATTTAGGATTGGGAACTATATGGGAATTTGCTGGTGTGTAGATAGATAGAGAGCATATCACTACTGACAGGCTTTTTGTTTATTCTTACGAGGTAACCAGGATTACCACAGACCTTTTTTGTATGTTACAAGTATTGCTTGGGGAATATTAATGTTGCTCTGAGTGAAAAGTTCTAAATTATCTAGTTGAGGGCAGATTTTTGCTTCTGAATTCTTTTTACCCATAACCAATGGGAGCCTTAGTCACTACAGATTAATTTCTCAGTTGTCTCCCTCTGCCAGTAGTTCTCTAGGTACACTGGTGAGATGGTGTGAGGCCTTGTGTTATATACATTTGAAGGAGAAATAAACTCAAACCTTTGTGTCACTGAGACAAAGTTAGCAACTGTTTCAGCACTTGTATCTGTCCTTTTCTTATATTCTGTTTTGGACCTTAAAGGAGTTTGTTTTCTTTTGCATCTCAGCCATGGTTTTATATATGTGTGTGTGTTTTTGTTTTGTTTTCCTTATTTTAAATTTGCATTTGTTACAGTTCATTTAACATTTCAGGAGATTTATAGTAAAAATACATTTTTTCCTAATTATTTGGTTCACAATATCCCTCAAAATGGAAGTAGGTTAAGGTTTTAAATTCTTTTCAGTCTGTAGCTAGGAACATAGGACACACAGGCCTTCTACCAAATTGCCTGTTTTTTTGTGTTAAAGATAGACAGGACTTGTTTTCAAAATTTGAGATGGACAGAATTTATTATTGCAATGAAAGAATGTCCTCAAATAATAAATTTGAAAAAGGCAGGCATCACCAGTTTCTGACTGCTTTTGTTTCCTCTCTAGTGCTTTTAAATAACTGTGTTTTTATGTTTTATAGTTATAGCATTCCTAAGACACGAGCTGCTCTACCATCTTCAGAAGTGAGCACTCTTCCGTCTCTAAAATTCTGTGGTTTTATTTCCTGATGGTCAAAATAAGGGCAATACATTAGAAATGGGGAAAAACCCCACAACATTGTAGAAAAATGGGAAAAACTATGAAAAACAATTTATTAAAAACTGAAAGAAAAATTACCTAATAGAAATCATGCTGTCCCTCTCTTTCCTTTGTGTCTTAACATACCACAAAATGCTCCTGTATCATTATAAGTACTTTGGGGGCATTTCTAATAACTGTATGATCACCTGCCATTTTGACTGTTACTACTATAATAATTTGTCTTTATTATTCTTTTTTCTTCTTAATGCAGTAGAAATTTGTCTTAACATACTACAAAATGCCCTTATATCCTTGAAAGTACTTTGGGAGCCTGTTTTGACTGTATTATTATTATTATATTTTAATAATTTGTCTTTATTGTATAGTTCCTTGAGAGACTATCCGTTTAACATATTTTTAACATATTTTTGGCTGCAAATGTCAAATCTTAAACTTGCTTCTGGAACCCTGAATAAGGATCTATGAATAAATGCTATATCAGATTTACTGTCTTATAAGCAATTCATCCTTTCAAGAATATATGCTGTCTGTTTGAACTTTATGAAATCACTGAAGTAAAGCCCTTTTAACTTAAAAGTATCTATTTCGTTTGTTGAATTTACCCCTTAACCTAAGACTTAGAACAGAACATGAAGTTACAAGCCTACTGCCTTCACTAAGAAGTAGCAAGTTTTCTTTATTTCTCAATTTAGTTGCCTTTTCTTTTTTTAGAAAAAAATTCTCTACTAATTTCTTTATCACTTTTCCAGAGAGATTCGTTTCCTTAAACAGTATGTTAGATCATACTGCTTTTTTTCATCTTCGTTAAATACAGCCTCTTACCCTAGGTCTTCTGATGAGCTATTTTCATTCACATGTGTTTCTCTAAATGCCGCCGAGATGCTAGATGCAGCTCTGCATCTTTGAGTTTTCTGTGCTCTTTAGGATTTCACTGCACGAGTGTTTCAGAGTGGATTTATCTCTTCTTCTGTGAGTGGACATGAGTTATGTTTCCGATTTTTTTCCCATCATGGGGAAGGTTGCCATGAATGTTGCAGAAGTCTCTTGATAGCACTTGTGCAGTAATTCTTGAGGCAGCAGCTTTCAAATTCTCTTTATTTGGACCCATAGGAGGAGAAATATTTTATATTGCACCTAAATACAGAGCCACAGCTGAAGCGGATTTTGTGAAACATAGCTTAACTATTAGATGATGTGTACTTTAAGCATTCTGTGCCCTATTTCATTTGAAAAATAGATACTGCTTAGATTCACTAAACGGATGTCATAAAATAGATTTGTGATCCCTTCATATAACACTGTTCTAAAATGTCTGCCCTTGTAGAAAATTTTGAGTCATAGAGTGTATGCATGTTTAACTACAAGGAGACAGAATTTTCTTTTTCTCTCCCATTGTGGTTGTACCAGTTTATATTCCCGCTAGCAAAATTTTTATTACTTCATATCCTTATCAGCACTGTCATCCAACTTTGCAGTCTAGTTGGTATAAAATAGCTTCAGCTTTCATTATATCGTTTAGGAAGTAAAGCATCCAAACCTGTCGTGAACTGGAGATTGACCAGGCACTGTCCACCATGGGTAACCTTATGGCATTTAGCACCCCAATGGCACAAGGTTCAGCATCACAGCAACCCCAGGTTCCCTCAGTACAGCAAATTGAAGAGTGTTCATCCAAAATACAATGACAACCAAGTTTTAAATCCAAAGGCCCTCCCTGAGGTCCTGTTGACTATAAACAAGAAGCTTAAATAAAAACCAACCAATTTAATATGTTGTTGCTGATTTTTGTTAGGTGCCGTAAAGTTGCCTGTGATGCATAGCAACTCTGTATAGTACAGCAGCTCTGAACTCTGTCCTGAGCTAGTCTCACCAGTTCTCACACACCAGTCCCGTTTGCCCCAGTTACTGTGCACATCCCATCCAGGGTTTTTCTCTCCTGCACTGTCCCTCCACCCTTCCAAGCATGATGTTGTTCTTCAAAGACTGGTCCTTCCTGGCCTCGTGCCCCAAAGTGTGTGAGATGGAGCTTCAATATCCTGTCTTCTGAGAAGAAACTTGGTTTCACCTTCTCCAAGACAGACCTGTTACAGACCTGTTTCTTTTCTTGGAAGTCCATGATATGTTTAAGACTCTTCTCCAGCACCACAACTTGAAGGCATCGATTCTTTTTCTGTCATCCTTAGCTATGCTTTTCTCTTTCATATTATTCATATCAAGAAGCCACATGGGATTTTTACACTGAGGATTCTGTTCAGTGTAACTAACATGAGCTTGACCAACCAGAAGAAAAGAGAAGGCCCACACTGTCTTGTCTTGTTAGGTGTCATATGGTCAGCTTTGACTCCTGGCAACCCTGGGCGCAACAGAATGAAAGTTTACCTTCTGATGTCATCTTCACGATCTCTGCTGTGTGGAAGCCCGTTGTGGCAGACACTGTTGGTCCATCTCTTTGAGGGTCTTCTTTTTCTCTGACCTTCTACTTTTCCATCATCCTTTATGTCTTTTACCAGGACTGACAACATACCCCAAGTATATGAGATCAAGTTACACGGATTTGTCTGTCCTTTTGGCAGTCCATAGTACATTCAGTACTTCTTGCTAACACCACAATCCAAGCAATCAGTTCTTCTCCAGCCTTCTTAATTGTACAACATGCATATGCAAATACCATGGCTTGGGCCAGGCATGCATTTCTCTTCAGAATGGAATCCTTGCTCTTTGTACTTCAAGAGGAGGATTTGCCCAGTGGAGTGCACTTCTTTTTTTTTTTAAAAAAAAAAATTTATTGTATTTTTACTTGTACCATAAAATCAGATCTGACTGGTAAAGGAGGAGATTGGCCCCTCCTTCTCCAGCAGAGCATCTGGTGGATTTGAACCACATACCTCTGGGATTGCAGTGCAGCGTCTTGCGAAGTGCACTATTTGACGTATGGACTGCTGTTTCCATGATGGGTGTTTGTGGATCCATGTAAAATGAAAAAACTTTTTGTTTTTTTCTGTTTATCATGTTTAGTGGTTCATTTGTGAGGACTTTTGTTTTTATTATGTTGAAGTATAGAGCTTATTTAACTGTCAAAATGTTTGAAAATTCAGGAACTATGAAAGCCACATTTGAATGTGGATGGTGGTGATGTTACCTCACTCTGGTTTATTGCATTTTCTTCCCCCTCAAATTAGCTTTTACAAATTGAAAACCATAGCAGTGTTTTTATGTATGTTACTATGTAACTGGGAGCACTGGTGGCCTAGTGTCAAGAAGCTGTGCTGCAGTCCTAAAACACACAGTTCCAGGCCACCAGCTAATCGTGTCAGAGGGATGAACAGTATCCTCCCATGCAATTAACTGAAAACCAGCTGGAGGGTCAGCTGTGGGTTGGTTCCCATTTGACAGTACACAACAACTATAATAATATCTTACCCATATGTATATGTGTATATGTCTATATATATCTCATATGTAGCATTTGAAGATTGGTTATCTGTTGATAGTGTGTGAAGAATCTTGCTAACCATTTTTAATTTTTATTTGCAGGTAAGCTTTTGGGTTGTTAGAGAGATTCTTCATGCTCAGACATTGAAAATTAGGGCAGAAGTTTTGAGCCACTATATTAAAACTGCTAAGGTAAGAAAATGTACTCTTTCCCTTGAAATCAACCATTTAGAGAATGTCTCTGAATGAATATTTGATTGTACATTTTGTTCACTGTTTAATAATGCTGAGAAATCCTATCGATTACTTTAGTTACATCTGTTAAATCAGGTGTCAGCATTCTCTCTCCTCATAGCTCAGTCTTCTTCCCTCTTTTCTGTCCCCTGTCCTCCTCTCTCTGTTACTGGATTGTATGCTGTTTATCTAGATAAGTAAATAGACATCAGATTATAGTGATGCTTGTCATTTACTAGACTTTGTTCTGCAATTTATAGAAAAAAGCCATTTAGGATTAAACAGTGTTTTTCGTCAGTGACTTGATTTGAAAGTCGATTGCTCTGCAAGCCATGTGGAGAATGATTATACTGCTGTAATTATCAGTGTCCACAGGTAGATTAACTGAGCAGTCTTGTTTGGCATAGATAATAGATACTGCAAGAGAAATGGGCTTCAAGAACAAGCAGAACTTCCAGGACATGCCACCAGAAGATAATACAATTTTAGTAAAACCTGTAACAACTCCAAATCTGTATGAAGTTTATGAGAAATGTGGTAATTGTAGCAAAATAATAAATACATAATTTACCTTACTTGTTAATGAAGGAAAAGAATAAAAGTAGACTAACTATGTTCAATTTTTATGAAAACTTTTTCTATTTTCCTTGAGCACAAAGTAGCCGTTACTTTCTATCAAATTTTATGACACTAGGTGGCAGAGCTAGCCTTTCTGAAAAATTGATGATTTGCAGCTGGGCCCAAACATTTACAGACAGCTTTTTTTTGTGATATGATAGCTGAATACTGGGTTTCATAGGAACTTACTGGTTTTTTGTTTATTTTTTCCCTGTATAGCCTGAGTTTTCATGTCTTTGTTAGATCTTTTTTTTTAAAAAAGTACTTTTATACTCAAAAGTCCCAAATGTTGCCTATAAATCCTAATTGTATCCTCTCATCAAATAATAATTTAATTCTGTTCAGAGTCAACCTTTTCGTTCTTTTTTCACAACGTTCACTAAGCATAATTTTCTTTGTTTTTAATAACTCTGTCTTAAATCCTTCTATCCTGATTTCTCTGCCTCCCGTAGTCAAGACTTTCCTTGATTTTATTATTATACAGATTAAAAAGTGATTTCATACATTTTTTTAAAAGAGGAATCCCTTTATTATACATTTTCAAAGGAATAATATAACATAGTTATTAAAAATGGACACAAACCTTTTTGGTACTTTATAGTTAATATTAGGAATAGAAATGTTGAGTTACAGAGTTACTCTTTGATTTCCAAATTTCTAGTTACACTAGTAGACATTCTCACCAGCACTGTGTCCAGGATGTTCTGCATCTTTCCCACTCCTTAATGTAGTCAGAATTTTTTATTATTGATCTTGTTTAATGTGAACTGTATCATTTTCATTTCAGTTGCTCTTTACAGAATCTGCTAATTAGTATATATGTGCTTTTAAAAAAAAGTCTGTTCAGCTTTTCTTTGCTGGCCGAACTGTGCAAGACCTTTGAACAGTTTTCTATTGTGTTGGACTTGTGTTAATTTTCTTAGTTCTTTCTATTGTTCTAGGTTCTCTTGTCTCTATTACATTTTTTTACATAAGCCCTCCTGATTGTGGATTTCATGTTATCTTTTGATACATAATTTTAATTACTGTAGTGAAATTGTCAATCTCAGTACTGTTTTACTGTATTTAAAAAATATTTATGTTATCTTACCCTAACCTTTGATAAAATGTAACTGTTTTAAAAAGTTTAACACTTGGAATTAAACTACCTAGGATAAAATTATATTTATAATGTATATGATATGATATATTCATGCTATTTCTTTTTTATCTCTTCTCTCCTTTTCAAAAATCTTTAGAAACTGTATGAGCTGAATAACCTCCATGCACTTATGGCAGTGCTTTCAGGCTTACAAAGTGCCCCAATTTTCAGATTGACTAAAACATGGGCGGTAAGTAATCTTCTCAAGTTAATTAAAGGTTAGACTTCCTGTTGAAAGTAAAGAATTCTTAGTTCCTTTTGTATTTTTTTGGTAAGTTTAGTATTATAGTAATAAGAATTTCAAGATTGCTTTATACTTTGCTCATAGAAGACACACTTCCCCCCCCAGTCCCATTCTCTGCTCACCCTCTTTCTTCCCCCC